TTAATCGTATTTTAATCGCGATTACGATTATGGCTTGCGACGATTAGGAAAACAGCATAATTGACAAAATACGATTATTTTGCTGGGTGCACTTTCGCCCCTCCCTAAAAGCCCACTCGGCCACGTGGGAGTGACATGTGTTGTGAGTGTTCAGCGCAAGTGAAGATCTCAGAACAAGAGCAGCAACTAGTTAAAAAGAAGCGTCGCGGGGAGATTCCCAGTCGATCGCGAGATGTGTCTAAAAATAGAACAACAATATTCTGTTTTATCGTTAATGTCCTGTAACATAATGTTCCCGTGCCAGAATAATGCACTTGAACGCATCAAAGCTTTGTGATTGGCCGGCCTCACCCCATGTGTCCGGGCGTGGCTGGTGAGCAGTGCACTAGTTCGCTGACGTTGTCCGTGTCAACAGCATGGATGGTCAACAGGAGTGACATTCCGCACACACACAAGACCGCAACTATGGCAGAAGCAAAAAAGCCCAAAATATATAATTTTCACTCCGAGTGGGAGGATCATTATTTTTGTATCTATTCCAATTCAAAGTCCATCTGTCTCATTTGCAATGCGAGCGTGACTTTATCGAAGAAGGGTAATTTAGGAGCGGCATTTCAAAACAGTGCACAAACGCTACGAGACGGAATTCCCTCCTAATTCTGCCCTACGCTCCAAAAGGGGAGGGGCCTGAGAGCACAGCTAAATGCACAGCAGTCCATTTTCACCAGGCCCAACAACAAGAGCAAGGCTGCTACCAGAGCATCTTATCGTGTCAGTCACGTTCTTGCGAAACACATGAAGTCTTTCGAAGACGGCGAAGTTATGAAAGAAGCTTTCCTGGAGGCTGCGACGCGCTTTTGTGGGACAGTAAAAATAACAGCAGCATTTCAACAGGTTTTTGATATAATAAAAACTCAATTTAGATACCGTTATTAATCTGCTGTAAGTTTTAGTTTGTTTGAATTTATTCATGATAATTATTGTACAAAATGGTATAAGAATGCAAACATTAAGATCTGTTCTGTTTAAATTGATTATAGTCTATCAGTTCAGAAACTAGTGTTGCTTGCATCCTATTTTAAAGGCATTTATTTTTATACTCTAATAAAATGCAACAAAAAATGGTTTTGATTCTATTAATGTTGTCTTTTTTATTGCACTGTTGCTGCAGCAGATTACTGTGTAGCTTCAGATCTGAGTTGTCTTATTAGTAAGCCTAATTTATACTTTTGTAGCAACACTATTTTTATATAATGGCAAAGAAAGGGTATTTTCTTTTTTTCCTGTGTCATATGTGGCAGCACTGCCACAAGTTCCTCTTCAGAGGGTCTTCAGTACAGGTGGCAATATTGTCACCTGCCTGCGCTCATCTCTGAAACCAGACCATGTAAACAGGCTGGTATTTCTTGCAAAAAATCTTTAAGAGATGACATGAGCAGCCCTACCAGCATTTGCCATGGTGGCCTAAACATTTTTATTTGGTCTTAAATTGTAGTTCAACATTTATTTCCTGTTACTTCTGGACCATGACGGTTGGCCAGCCTTCAACGTTTAACTGAGTGGAATATGTTGAATATGTTTTACCAAAATGTTGGCTATATGTTAAGGAGTTTTCAGTAGGTTGTGACAGTGCACTGCAACATATTTGATTTAATTTATTTTGGTCTAATTTATTTTTATTTATCATATTAATATATGTTTAGTATGGTTTTGGAAGTGCGCTCCAACACATTTATTGATCTTGTTTATTGGTAAAATATTATTTGTTTTAAAGTTCAATAAATGGTCAATGAATAATTGTCAAAATAATCGTGATATCAATTATTGACCAAATAATCGTGATTATGATTTTTGCCATAATCGCACAGCCCTAGTTTGCAACGTCACAAATAAATGGGGCCAATCTTCAGTCAGATGTGAATGTGTAATTAACATTTTCAGTAAGAATAATGGACAAAAGGAGTGCAAATACAATTTATTGAAATGTGAACCAAAAGTTAATCAAATGTTTTAAATAGAAAACACATATGGACAGAAGGTGTAAACCTATTAAATGTATAAGTAAACACATTTAGTCAAATCAAGTGACAGACTAGGCCTGTGCAGTTGGTATCAGCTTTGCCCAGCATGGGCTCCTCCATCAGGCTGGTCCTCCTCGCTGAGGAAAGACCCTCAGTCCTCTCCAAACCAACAGACAGGACGTCCATCACACGGAGGTTTCTCCATGAAGTCTGCAGCTCTCTGGACACCACGCTGTCTCAATCCGTCCACACTGAATATGAGAGGGGGAAAATGAAAATAATAAATGCTTTAGACAATAAGAAATATAAAGTTGACTGTTGAGTTGCTCAGTTTTTTTAGATTGTCAATACTATTACTGTATAACTAATATATCAGGTTAAGAGGCACCTTCAAATAAAGATTGGTCTTTAAATACATGTTGTCTTTTGAATTGTTTGTCTAAAGTCAAGGATCTAGAACTGGTACTTAGTTTTAATGATAGTCTGGTTATTATGCTGTTTGGAGGTCAATATTCTAGCGCGTAAAACAAGCTACTCACGAGCGGAAAATGTGCTTTTACACGCGCATAAAATGACCCTCGCGCGCAGATTAAACCCCCGCGAGCGGCTCTGCGCTCGCTCGCGAGAGGCTCTGCGCTCGCTCGCGAGAGAGACAGCCCTCTTGCTTGCTCGCGGGAGTGTCAGCCTCGCGGAGTCTGTCTACGCGCGCGTGAAAAGTTTCTGGCACTTTGGGGCGGAGCCACTGGACTTTGATTGACAGCTGCCAGGAAACCCGGGGTTGCCAGGTTTGATAAATGCCTGAACTACCAAGAGCCGAGCAGTGACGGCAGCAAAATCTAGGTGCGTACAGCCATAGATATATATAAACACTAGATGACTCACCCGCGCTGCTGGCCAATGGAGACCGACGTTGCCACTTGGCCGCCATCTTGCTACAGGCAGTTCTCTCATTCATAACATTATGGTTTACTATTTAAATAACCATAGCTTGTTCAATTTTCAACCAATTTTCAAACGGTTTGGTTTTGTATAAACATCAAAGATGTAGTTATGATACTGTATACTTATAGTCATGGACTTTCTTATGAAAATAACATTAAGCAGATAAAGCAATAGCTATACACACACACAAGGTATTTATATTAAATATTTGCCGGTGTATATATTTCCATTTATTTTTATTATATTGTTAATATTTAAAATAAATTATAAAATTAAAATATATTTATATTTTATATATAAAAATCGGTCTCATGTTACCACTCTGTAAGCCAAGAGTTGTTAATTTAGCAATGCCTTAGCTTGAAGAATAGGGACACAACTAATGACAATAGCGGTGGTATATTATTTAGATATTCACACCTTTATCAGAAGAACCAAACCAACATAAAATGAGCTCACAGACAGGCCAGTTCTGTCTCATTTATCACAATTATACGAATATATAAATAATAGTAATATGGAAATTAATAAGTTACTTTTTTAACAATTCAATGTTCACTTATCAATACTGTGAGCCTGATTTTTCTTACATTCTCCAACAGAAAACACAACTCAGCGTACTTTTAAGAAATTGATCTTAATAGGCTTTTCCCCTTATAAGGCAAACATATGTTTTGAGGCTCTGGACAAAAATGGCTATTTTGATTGTAAAGGTTGCCAATCCCTGGGTGTAGTTTCAATGTTTGCACATGTTTATTCAAGTGTATGAGTGACATAGAGCAAGTGAGATGGCCAGTGGTTCTCAAACCTTTTACACAGAGTACCACCTCAAATTATATTGGGCTCTCCTAGTAACACCATCATAGACCTTCCTGGGTACCACCGAGATAAAGGATTTAATATGACAAGCCATATGATGCTCTCATTTGTTAGTGACATTCCACATGCAAATAAAACAAGATAAGATGGTACTTTATTGATCCCAATTTGGGAAAACATTTTGAGTTACAGCAGCATAAGGGACAAAGCATTTTACAATGAATTAGAAATAAGCAAGAAAAATAAAGAAAAGAAAGAGGAAAATATACATGTTGAGTTTGGCAGGATATTATATATATATAATATACATAAATATAAGGCATATGGAATATTAATGTTAAATATTAAATAGATTATATATGTGTAAAATGTACAACGTGGTTATATTCAAGAGAAACTATGGAGCAGTGGTCTGTGCGTTTGATCATCAGATCAAGGGGGCGTTGGGGAACTCCAGTTCGAAACCCGCTCCCGCCCCACTGCGTCAGGCCGTTGTGTCCTTGGGCAAGACACTTCACCCGAATTTGCTCCTGTGGGTATTGTCCACAGTATATGACCATTACATGTATGATCTGTATGTGTAATGTGTATTTGTAAAGCGCTTTGAGAGTCTTTGATAAAGCGCTATAATAAATATAAGGATTATTATTATTATTATTATCTTCCAGCCAGAGGTGATTTGTTGAGTTATGGCACTGCGGAGCTGCAGCAGTCTGTTGGAGAAGGAGCTCCGTTGACTGTCCAGCTGCAGGTGGAGAGGATGGGTGGGGTTATCCATGATGGACAACAGCCTGTTCAGTGTCCTCCTCTCCACCACAGCTTCAAAGGGGTCCAGCTTGATGCCGATGACAGACCCAGCTTTCCTAATTAGTTTATTGATCCTGCTGGTGTCACCGGCTCTGATGCTGCCCCCCCAGCAGACCGGAGCAAAGAAGAGTGCACTGGCCACAACAGACCGGTAGAAGATCTCCAGCATCTTACTGCACACGTGGAAGTATCTCAGCTTCCTCAGAAAATAGAGTCTGCTCATCCCCTTCTTGTGCACAGCATCAGTGTTGATCCTCCAGTTCAGTCCGTTGTCTAAGTGCACTCCCAGGTATTTGTAGTCCTCCACAACAGCCACATCCTCTCCCAGAATGCACAGGGGTAGAAGAGACGTCCTCACCCTCCTGAAATCAATGACCATCTCTCTGGTCTTGGCCACATTCAGAATACTCACAACATTAGCCTGAGGTTCATCTTCCGCTCTTCTTGAAGTGGTTGTGCTTCTTGTTGCTTCCGGCTAAAATAAACATAATTAAAGACATTTTGAGTGTTTAAAATGTGCTGTAATACACAACACATTATTTATTCCTAAACTTGCAGAAAGAAAAACTAAAGTGTGACATTTAATCACATATTTATCAATCAATCTTATACACCTTGAATTCTTGTTGGCCAATGATACATACCCTTTGAAGATGAGCTGGGAAATTGAATACTGTTGGCACAACACCATCTTTAAGCCGGACAGTCTGCCCCGTCCTGTCAAAGTCCTCACTCCTGAAGTGCTCACTGCAGAGCAGCGTCCTGCCAGAGGAAACAAAACCGTCCCTTCTTAGGGCGAGTTCCCACTGCCTCCTCCTCTCTCCGGTTTTGGGAAACCTTAAAAACATGAGAAAGGTAGCCAGATATATAAATTATTGTCAACATTGTCCGCCCTTCTTTCCTTTAACATTAAGGGTAAGGACAAAAATACACACCGAAATTATCATATTTTTGGGGTAATTGTATGTATGTATGTATGTATGTAATGTATGTATGTATACTTTAAGAATAAGACAACCACACTAAGAGTAATAAAAAAGGTGTCCAAAAGAAACATTACATAATTGTGTAAAGAAATGGTAGCAACATAGGCGGCGCATGAGGCTCAGGTTTGGGAAGGCTAAATAACTTATTTTTTTATCTGACGCTGCCCGCCTCCGGCGTTTATAGAAAAGAGATCAACTCAGTGAAAGCACCGCCTGCTGACCGATCAGAGCTCAGTGTGCGGAGTTTAAATCTATCAAGTCATATTACAGGATAAAGGAAATACAGTTTAAACTGCCGTATGCAGAGAAGACGTCGACGTGTCGCACTTATCATTCATATCACACTGATATCACATCATCAATCAGATCATCGATCATATAATATCACAATATTTCCTTATCTGAGTCAGCTTCTCGAGCCGTATCTGGCCGTGCAACACTTACATTGTCACATATACTGTATGCAGACGTATTATTTTAAGCAACACATTAAGTTGACGAAACACTCAACTCAAATGTAATTAAAGTCAGATCCACTCGTGTCTTAGATGGGGCAGTATCATAAAACTGTTTTCAAACACTCGGTAGTTTATTTTTTAACCAGTTCTATATTCTCCTTGCAGGTGCAACTATGTGGCTCGTATCCTGGATTATATGTTTAAGTCATGGATGGTTAAAGTTCATATTTGTCTAATATTAGTTTACTTTTCATTAATGAAGTATGACGCTGCGCTGTCAGTACACTTGTCCCTGTTTGTGATTGGTCAAATGTAGCGTGAACGCGTTCTCAGCTGGAGAGAGAAACCCTGGCTTGATTCACAGAGTTGATAACCAGCTTCGTGGACCACTTAGCGAAATCTCATTTGTTAGGGTTAGTTAAGATAATTCAAACATATCCAGGGTCTGTTGAACTGGCTTCGTACAGGGCACAGGTGGCTGCATAGCAGCGCTAATGTCAAAGACACACACATTATACATTATATTTGTATTTTACCAGGATGCAGTGACACAAATATTTGGGAAGGCTTAGCCTTCCCTAGCCTACAGCACCCGCCGCCCCTGGGTAGCAACATATTCTAAAGAGGCTGGGTCAACATCAATCTTGCAATACTATTATCTCACATAGCCCCACTGATCCTGTGTAGCAGGACTTGTAATGTACTTACATCCACTAAGTAATTAACAATTATCCTAATTATAGTCATAATATTGTCATATCTTACACGTGAAAGGTGATTCCACGGGTTCTTGTTTGCAGACTGCGGCGATTAGAGCAGCCGTAGGCTGCACAAAAGTCAGGCATAGTCAGGTATTTCTGTAAACACAAAGCCAGCAATTTCCTGTATCATAATGTATCTAAAAATGTAAGATGTTTTTAACAAGCCAAACCACTTGGAAGAAATCATGTGCAACTTAAGTTATGTTGAAAATAAAGAGCAGTTATGCCTCTCCCACTGGTGTAAAGTTGCTGGGTGAACTTCTTAATACTAGGTCTCACTCACAGCCTCTTGTTATTAGCCAGATAATAAATACAACCACATACACAAAGAAAAGCTGCAATTTCAACATGTCCAAGCATCCTGTATCATAGCCATGCTAATAACGTTTACAATAAACAAAACCGTTTGTAAATCAGTCAAGATTTCAGCGATTTAAGAGTATTTGTGTGCAGATCACTCACCTTACAACAGCTACCATAGCGCGTACCAGAGTAGCTGTTGACTGTAGCAAGATGGCGGCCGGTGAGCTACGCTGGAAAATCTCCCATGAGCCATCTAGTGTTTATATATATCTATGCGTACAGCAGACAGTAGCTAGCAGTTTTCGACGGACACAGCCCACTGAAAAATATATTGTTTTATATCAAATTAATGTATATTACATTACATTACATTGCATTTAGCTGACGCTTGTATCCAAAGTGATTTACAATAAGTACATTCGACCAGGAAGACACAACCTTGAAGAAAACAGAATCATATATATATATATATATATATATATTAGCTGTACACTTTACGAATATAATAGTTTTTTATAGACAACTTTACCATTCAATCTCGTCCAACTGATTTTGCTGCCGTCACTGCTCGGCTCTTGGCAGTTCAGGCATTTATCAAACCTGGCAACCCCGGGTTTCCTGGCAGCTGTCAATCAAAGTCCAGTGGCTCCGCCCCAAAGTGCCAGACACTTTTCACGCGCGCGTAGACAGACTCCGCGAGGCTGACACTCCCGCGAGCAAGCAAGAGGGCTGTCTCTCTCGCGAACGAGCGCAGAGCCGCTCGTGGGCGCAGAGCCGCTCGCGGGGGTTTAATCTGCGCGCGAGGGTCATTTTATGCGCGTGTAAAAGCACATTTTCCGCTCGTGAGTAGCTTGTTTTACGCACGAGAATATTGACCCAAATCTGACACCATAGCAGGCCTCACAGGTAAGAGCACTAACTAGCTACCATCACATGTACCTTAGCTTGACTTAAATGTATTAAACGTATAGTTCAGTGATGGCAAAATATAAATAACTAATGTCATGAAAACATATTCATATTTGCTTGATTCTAGAGTTGAATTTAGCACAATTGCATACAAACGTTAAGAGATTTTAAGATTCTGAAGTCTTCGTTCTAAAGAGAAAATAGCATGGATAATTTACAAAGGCTTTGAAAACACAGCAGGAGCCCAAGACAATTATAAAACTTGTCATTATTTCAGTACAGTTCAATTGGTTTTATTTTCATAAACGGTTAGCAACCGTTAGTGCGAAAGCAGTAGGCTATAATATATTAATTACTGCTGTAGACTACAACCACTACTTGTTTAGCTAGCATAACCTCAACAAAGCTAGCGTTAGCTGGCTGACTGACGTTATTTTGCCGCTAAACTGCATGATATAAAACGGTGGTCTTCAAAGCGGATTTAATCCTCAATCACAATAATAATATTCAAAGTAATACTGGGCAAGTAATGGGCAACATTTACCGTTGATTGATGCGCCATGTCAGCGGACTGGTAGCGACACGAACCGTTAGCCCCGCAGTCATCCGGTTCGACGTGACTGTGTGACTGACCCGAGCCTCGTTGTTCTGATAGCTCCGCCCCCTTCGCTCCATGTCTGTCTCGTTGGAGGTCCCGCCGTCTACTCTCCTGCCAGGGGTCCTGCCAATCCCATGTCCTGTCCCGTTGGGGGTCCCGCCGTCTACTCTCCTGCCGGGGGTCCTGCCAATCCCATGTCCTATGCCGATGAAGGTTCCGCTGGGGGTCCTTCCGCCTCCATGTCCAGTCCCGTTGGAGGTCCCGCGAACTACTCTCCTGCCGGGGGTCCTGCCAGCCCTGTGTGCTGTCCCGTTGGGGGTCCCGCCGACTGCCCCTCTGCCGGGGGTCCTGCCAACCCTGTGTCCTGTCCTGTTGGTGGTCCCGCGAACTTCTCTCCTGCCGGGGGTCCTGCCAACCCTGTGTACTGTCCCGTTGGGGGTCCCGTCGACTGCCCTTCTGCCGGGGGTCCTGTCAACCCTGTGTCCTGTCCTGTTGGAGGTTCCGCCGGCTGCTCTCCTGCCGGGGTCCTGCCAATCCTGTGTCCTGTCCCGTTGGGGGTCCCGCCGACTGCCCTCCTGGTGGGGGTCCTGCCAACCCCTGGTCCTCTTCCGTGGGGGATCCTGCCGAGGCCTGTCCCACCAGCGCCGGTTCCTGTCCGACCGACACCGGTTTCTGCCCGGCCTCCTGAGAGCTGCGGTCTTCGCCCTCGAGCCCGGCCCCCTGAGAGCCGCGGTCTTCGCCCTCGAGCCCGGCCCCCTGAGAGCCCGGCCCCCTGAGAGCCACGGTCTTCGTCCTCGAGCCCGGCCCCCTGAGAGCCGCGGTCCTCGCCCTCGGGCCCGGACCCCTGACTCTTCCTGCCACTGCCTTCGCCCCTCCATAACCCCCTTTTCAAGCTCTGCCTTGCCCCTGGGCTGTCAGCCCAAGCCCGTCCTCCAGACCCCCTCCACCCACCCTGTTGGCCCTAGTTTTGTGTCCCTCCTCCGGTCCCCCTCCGCCCGCCCTGGTGGCCTGGTGGTGTGTCCCTCCTCCGGACCCCCTCCACCCACCCTGCTTGTGGTTTTGGACTTTTTGTGGTTTTGTTTTGGGACGTCTGGGATCCGTCCCTTGAGGGGGGGGTACTGTTAGGATCTGTCTGTGTTGTAGTTTTGTATGTCTGGTTATGGGTATTTTCATCCTTGTATATTGTCTGGTCCTTCTTCCTGTGTTTTTCCTCCCGTCGTTAGTTTCCCTGGTGTGTCTAGTTGTCTGATTGTTTTCACCTGTGGTCCTTGTGTTTCTCCTCCCCTGCCCGGCTGTGTCTGATCTTGTGATTACCCCTTCCTGTATTTAGTCTTGTCTCTTCCTGTGTTCAGTGTCGGTTCGTCTTGTGTAATGACTTGGTCTGCGGTGGGTGTTCTGTTCTGTATATTGTAGCCTTGAAATAAAGGAATTATTTTTGTCCCTTAAATCTGCATTTGGGTCCTGCTTCCTGCACACCGTAACAATATCTAGTTAATTCATTTCTTAGTTTCAGGCACAACCTAAGTGGTGGGCTGACAGACAGATCGATTACATGCTTTGATGCTATATTGCAAGGATACCTAATACACCCCAAGGAAAATGTGGTGATAACATAATTGTAATGGAGCATATACTGTAAAGTGTTGAACTCTTTAAATCCAAAAATATGCAAATGTGCTGGGTTAGGAAAATGAGAATGATATGGAAACATGATTTAAACACTTTTCATTTACATTGTGTGTATACTGTAGCCACATGCTCAAATACTCTGCACCTTTTCCAGTAAATTCAAGCTTTTAATGTAATCTGGTTTGACACACAAATTAATGAAAGCAATTGAACGTTAACTGTGAATACAAATGTGAATAATTTCCGCCATTGTGTTTAGTACAATGGCCAATAATGAACAAAAGGATATGAGGCAAATTCACTAATTAGTGAATGTTTTACATTCACAGAGCCAGCCAGTTGTTTAGAGAAGGAACTGTACATGCTCATGTGGAGAAACACCGGATGAAAATGCATTGTGGGTTGGGTGCATTGTTTCTACAAACCACAATGGACCCACACCCCAGAGGGTGTTGTTCACACCTTTGTATTGCTGTTTCATATGACCTTTATTCATTCTGTAATACCATACCCATTTCTCTCATTTCATATTTTACCATAAATCGTAATCCCAAACAGAACAGTAGAGGGACACAAATTAATAGGTTCCAGAAAATCCATGATTTAAACACAAACAAATGAAATTGGTATGTAAATGAAAATAAACAAGAGGAGAAAGAAGTTGCTTGGTTCTCTATCATATTATAATGAATGACCTTGCATAATAGGAATTCAATTCCCTAGGCCTATTCAGTAACACTTGTGTTGAGCAAGGTTATTAATCTATTCTAGCCGGAAACACAGTATGGAGATAAATGTTTTCCATTTTTGTTTGTGTATTGTATTCTCCAAGCACCAAGGCACCAAACTCCTTGAAGGTGAATCCCTACTTGCCAACAAACCTTTCATCCATTTATTTATTTCACGTCTATTTATTGAGTTCTCCTTATTTTGAATGTATTATTATTTTTAATTAGTGGCATCGTATAGTCTGACTTTATTTCATTTGTCCTGTCCTTTAATCTAGTATTACATTACATTACATGTCGCTTGTTAGACGCTTTTATCCAAAGCGACTTACATACTCAATACTGTGGGCAATCCCCACAGGAGCAATTTGGGATGAAGTGTCTTGCCCAGGGACACAACGACATGCTGACTGCAGTGGGGTTTGAACCTGTGCTCCACTGATACCAACACCAACGCACTAACCCACTGTGCCACAGCCTCCCTTATAGTATCCATTATGTAAAGATGCAAGGACACTGAGCACACATATACTGCCTGTCTTTGGAGTTTTTTTTTATTGTACTAAGGAGCTGACCTAATGATTATTCTATAAAAACTATAACCATAAATTCCATCACGACAATAACAATAACAAACTCTGTCCTAAAAAGCGGCCCCTTGAGAAATAGATATTATTGCCGGGATTTGCAAAGTGACCTCACTGGGAATGATTGCCCACCCCTTTTTTAATGTTGGTGGAGACATTAGGTGCTTATAATTATAGAAATATATATTAACGCACACAGATACAGGGGTTCCTCTAGTTTATTGCCACAGACTATTTGGCTGCTGGAGAAACCTGCAATTGTGGGATTGCTGTGGGAGTGTTGCCCTCCTGTGCCATTAAAACCTGCCAGATTAACGCACTGCTAGACAGCTCCATGGACACCTCCTGCTGGGCGGAAGTCACAGTCCATATGGCCCCTTACATCTTCCCTCCGTCACATACATAGTCACACGCCCCCTCAAACACACACACAAACAAACAAGCATCCTTTATTCTCTGTGTACTTGTCTCCTTCCTGGCCTCCAGGACAGTAATTCTGCAGCATTTAGTTTGTCAGCTTCTACCAATTATTCGTACCTGAAGCTAAATTATTTCTGTTCCTCCAAAGCCATCCACACACTGATGGAAGGCATACTATAGATTTAATTGGATTCTGTGAATTTATTATGGTGATTACTAAACACAGTGGTTCCCAGAATTAAATTCCCTTTGTGCTTTATGCAGCGCCTACTTGGACCATGTGAAAGGTACTGCAATGGGTACAAGAGAAAACAAGCGAATAGAGAGATTTAGGAAAATGGGTGCTGAAATTTGTCTCAGGAATTGTGCCATTGTGTCAGCGTGTGACAGTGGGATGCAACAAATGTCAGTATTTCACATTTCACT